CCCTCCCCCTCTCCCTCTGCCTCCTCCTCCCTCTGTCTCCCTCCCCTTCCGTCTCTCTCGCCCTCCCTCCCCGTTCTCCCCTCCCCCCTCCCCTTGTGCATACTTCTGCTGCTGCATACATAGACACCTGCATATGGGCCCAGGCTCTTAGTTCGCATAAACACCTCAGGACAGGGCAGTAGGGCAGCGGTTCTGTGCACAAGGCAGAGAAACTGCAGCCTGCAACTTTTGGCCTCAGTTATCTTGAGATACGCCGAGTGTGGTGGTGCACCCCTATAACCCTGGCACTCTGGAAGGCTGAGGCAGGAGGATTGGAAGTTTGAACTCAGTTTGAGCAACTTACCAAGACCCTATCTCAAAATAAAAAATAACAGCAGGGCTTGGTATATAGCCCTGTGCAAAAGGACTGGACTGAATCCCGGGGTGAGGAGACAGATGACAGTGCTCTTGGGTCGTCTCCTTCCCTGCAGGTCCCCAAAGTTCTGGACTCTGACAGCTGGAGGGATTTGGGCCATTTCCTGAGGTTCTTGGTCCTCACTACCAATTTGCTAACAACCAGGTGAGCAGTGCTTCCCTGTCCTCCTCTGCTGACGCCACTGCCCAGCACACCCTCGTTTCTCGGCTCCGGCGCCCCGTGGCCACAAGATCGATGCTCACAGACTCGGTCCAGATGAGCAAGCACAATTGTAACATCTGTGCTGCCCATCCTGGGGCCTGACCCAGTTTCCAGCACCACATGAGCCGCCCTGAGAAGGCCCAGAACGTGCTGGCAGCAGTGTTGGCTCCTCTCCCTCACAGGAAGCGGCCGTCTCAGGCCTTATTTTGTCTGATTTCCCCTGAGGACTCCTGGGCCGGAGAGTGATGACACCTGGGTCTTCGCAGGGCTCTACATAGTTAAGAGGCTCCTGAGATGATTGGGGGTCAGGACAGCCTGTCAGCCCTGGGTGCCAGTGGCTGGTTCTGACCCACTTGGGGGAGTTGGACACATACCCTTTCTCTTCCGTATCAACCAAAATTTCCATAAAGCTTACTCTGTGCCAGCTATTGTTTAGGAACCTATCTTCACAGTAACTCACCCTCAGGCCACTATAGATGTCATCTCTTTCCCTCTTCCACTCCCACTCCCCATATCTGTGTTTGTATGTATGTGTGGTGTGTGTGTGTGTGTGTGTCTCATAGTGTCAGAGAGAGACAGACAGACAGACAAATAGAGCCAGGGATTTCATGATGAACTACTTCCACAGCCCATGTTTTACTTCTGAGTCAAGGTCTCGTAGAGTTGCCCAGGCTGCCTCTAACTTGCAGTCCTCCTGCCTCAGCCTCCCCAAGTGCTGAGATTACAGGTAGGCACCACCTTACCCAGCTCTTATGTCTTTTTTTTTTTTTTTTTGGCAGAACCGGGGATTGAACTCAGGCCCTTAGGCTTACCAGGCAAGCGCTTATTCTACTGAGCTATCTCCCCGACTCTTATGTCTTAATGGATGAGAAAACTGCAACGTGGGAGAGCTAATAAGTGACTTGACCAAAGCTTAGCACATACTGCCATCCTTTGAAACAGGTCTGCCCTCCCTTGCCCTGTCCTGAGGGACTCCGTGGCACGTAGGCTGTCTCTGTGGTAGCAGTGGCCCTCGCTGCCGGAGCCCGTGGGACTGGCTGGGGCACGTTGACGCCTTGAAAGCTCTCTGGCCCCAGAGTTATTGTGTACACTATACCTTATTTTCATGTTCAGAAACAAACACAAACCTATCACTGGCCTCTTCCTCAGTGCAGGAGAGTTTCTTTTTCTGGAGGCCCTGCTTCCTGCTTGCCAGAACAGCAGGCCCCTTTGGTAACCTGCTTTTCTCCTACTTGATGTTGCCAGCCTTCCTCTGGTTGCCTTCCTGGAAGGAGAGTCCTTGGCCCTCTCTGGGGCTTCTTCAGCATTTCACAACCCTTGTGTTCCAGCCGTGCAATTTGTATCTGGCTTTTCCTAAGATGATCAGTTGAAAAAAGCCTTCTTCAGCTTGATGGCACCTCCCTTCCCAGGGCCTCCTCACGAAGGAAGGAAAGGAAGCAACTCCTTTCTGCCACTTAAGGACAGTCTGGCCTGAAGACTGTGCCTACTAACATATGCAGGAATCTGGAGATAGGAATCTCTGGACATCCTCTGTCTGAGGCATATGCTCCACCACAGTCTGAGGAGTCTGATTTTAGGTTCCAGCCTCTCCACATTGACAGGGGAAAAGGGTCAGGTGCATGCACTGAGGAAGTTGGCATTTCTGTAAGGTATAGCTCAGAGCTGGGGACCTGTATCAGAATTCCAGAACCTCCTCTTCTTGAGGCCAATGTGTCTCTGACTGATGCAGGGACCTCAGGGAGTTTGGGGGATGGTTCATACTCTTGGTGAGGCGTGTAAGCCTTGTATGTATGCAAATGGGTGCAAGAAAGGAGACTCATGCCACAGGAGGAGCACTTTTAGTTAAGAGGCACTCTTTTTTTTTTTTTTTTTTTTT